TCTATCTATCTATCTATCTATCTATCTATCCATCCATCCATCCATCCATCCATCCATCCATCCATCCATCCATCCATCTTGAGATCAGTGGCAATGTAATTTTTTAAAAACAACCCTTGTTATCTACAACAAGTAAGATATTGTTTTTCATAAAACTTTCCACACAAGTCCACCCAAAAGATCAAAGTTATCCCTTTAAAGTTCAAAGTTCAGCCAGTTTTATCCTTTAACAGTATGACTCCACATGATGCACAGATAATACATGTTTTTTTTTTATCATTATTTCGTTTGGACCTTTACAGTATTGACCTTCTTTATCAGTGTGATCCCTGTAATCGGACCTTTTCTGTGGCTGTTTGACTTGACTCACCCGGCAACGGTTGCCGCAGCAACCTTTTCCACAGCAACCCTTGCCCCCAGCCCTGATAGCCGAGCAGCTCGGGCACAGCATCTGGAAAAGAGTTCAAAGACAGAAACGTCTCGGTTAAGCAAGGTTTGGGTGCGTTTTTGGAGGTGTAGAGCTGAGTGTCACGTCTTTAAAATATACTTTTCAGCTTCTAAAAACATTTTTTATATCTGAACCAAGGTACAACTTTTGGTTTATTCACTATGAGCTCTACCACGCTCTGCTTCATGTTAAACTTTAGATTAAAGGTTAGAATCACATCATATTTAGCCACGATGGGAGTTAAACGCAGATCCAGTGTTATAGTTCATGCAACATGAACCTTCTCTAACTCTGTTCCTGTAACCTGGACCAGCAACAAGATCTGAAGCTGCACACTGTGATTTCTTTAATGGATTGGAAACATTTGATAAGGGAATTTAAACAAATCTAAGCAAAAATGTTCTTGTTTTCAGATTTGACCTTTTATGGAACTTTGATTTTATAGTTCCTGTTAAACTATTGTTTTTAACTGTATTTATTGTTCACCAACAGCTCATGCTCAATAATCCAGACACAACTCCAACAATGTTCTGTCAGGTCATCTGGATGGGTTTTTTTTTCTGAGGTGTTTTGTCCTTCATCCGAAGGACTTCTTCAGTTCGAGAAGCCACAAGCAAACTGGGGTCCTAAAACCACCACACTCCCATGAGGCATGACTGCCTCAGAGGAGTTGACGGGGGAGAAGGCGGGCCACAGAAACCATCTTATCACCAGCAAACTGGTTTTGTCCACTATGGGAGTGTGGTATTTTTGGGACTCCAATTTGTTTGTAGCTTCTCAGACGAAACTGTCAAGATGACCTGACTGAGCATCGTTGTATTTATTGTTGTTTATTGTACTCTATATGTTGTCTGTCTAAAACAGGTCTCTCTTGAAAATGAGTCCTTGTGACTCTGTGAGACTAACCTGGATAAAAAAGTTAAATTAAATAAAAATGTCTACATGAAACAGGCCCCAATGAATACAGAAAAACAAGTGTGTGTGTGTGCTCATTTATGTTACTTTGTGAGGCCCATTTTTCAACGCTACGTTGTGAGGACCAGCTGCTCTTTGTGGGGACCAGAGCCCGGTTCCCATAATGTGCAAGCGTTGTTGGTGGGTTAGGGGTTAGGTTTAGGACTGAGGTGTGAATTAAAGATGGTTTAGGTATGTACTGATAATGGTTAGATTTAGAGTGAGGTATTGTCACGTCCACCATGAACAGAACACATTAAAAAGAGGACACGAGACACAAATAAGGAGGGTTCAAACATTCAATTTATTTTTCAGCTGGTTCCTGAAAAAAGGAAGAGAAACATGAACCCCAATTCTTGTGTCCACCCAAAAAGACACAAAACCCAAAGTACAACTTAAAGGAGGACCTGGTGAGCCGACCAAACCAAACGAAAAGGTACAACAGCGGGCCAACCCTATACAGGGCCGTCAAAGCCGCTGCTGATACCAGACTAATCTATTAAAAAAGCACCTATTACAAAAGAAGGAGCAAAAACAGAACTACCGGTCCCACTAGACCAAAGTTACTACAAAAAACATACAAAAAGTTAACCAAAATTACCCGTGGTGGCTGAGACCGCCGACAGCAGGCCACAGCTCCAGGACAAAGAAAAAAACAAAAGCCCCAGAAAAAAACAAGGCAGCAAAAAAGAAAAAGGTCCAAACAAGGAGGCCAAAAAAGACAGAGCTTCTGAGGTTGTTTTCACACCTGTTAGTCCGGTAGACTCGGTTCGGTTTGGGACCAATATTCATGACATTTTGTTTACATTTGAGCCGGTGTGTTTGCATTCACACTGCACTGTGCAGTCGAGCCAACCTGTTGAACCAACCTATTCCCCCACTTGCCTGTAGGGGCGCTGCACCAAGAACTACTGAAAGAAACGACACAAAAACCTCTGAAGAAGACACTTCTTCTTCTTCTGGAAATTAAAAAAAAAACGGAGTGACGTCAAATTTTAGCGGTTTTAGGAGTTCTATTTTGTCATTTTTCAACAATGGACTCAGCATGAGTGGAAGATGAGGCAGAAGACCATGGAGAATATTGTTTTTCACACAAGGCAGCTGATGGCTCCATATGAGGTAAGAGAAATGCGTGTTTGTTTGCCCTGCGCTGTACTCCACTTCTTGCTTATGGAGTGGTGCCCGTTCTGTTTACATTCACACTGTACTTGAACCGCGCTCGAGTTTTCTTCTACCGGACCGAGACCTAAGTTTTAGCCCGAGTCAGAGTTCGCCTTTTTGTTCTGTGACAGAGTTCGATGGCGCGTTCACACCTCCCCAAACGAACTGGACTTCCTAGGCAAACAGGCTAGAATTCGGGACAACAGGGCTGGTGTGAATACACCCTAGATCCAAAAATGTGGGAGCATGAGTGAGTTCACAAACATAGTGAGTCTGAGAGAGCGAGCTCCCTGAAACCAGCCTATTCATGGGCGGGCGAAAAAAAGGCCACAGCCCAAAACAATTAAAGGCTCATTAGCCAACGCAAAATCTGTCCAAAGGGACAAAACAACAAGGCCAATGTGCCCCAGGCACATAACAGGTATGTACTGGTAATGCTTAGGTTTAAAGTTAGGTATCTACTGGTAATGGTTAGGTTTAGGGTTAGGTATGTACTGGTAATGGTTAGGTTTAGGGTTAGGTATGTACTGGTAATGGTTAGGTTTAGGGTTAGGTATGTACTGGTAATGGTTAGGTTTAGGGTTAGGTATCAGAATCAGAATCAGTTTATTATCGCCATGTCAATGAACGAGGTTCACAAACTAGGAATTTGCTTCGACATAAGGTGCGAATAGTAATAAAGTAAAATAAAGTAAAAATAAAGTAAAAATGAAGTAAAAATGAGAACATTACATAAGACATAAGACCTGTGTACACCCACAAATAAAGTAAAATTAAAAACATAACATAACCATATGTACACCCATACAATAGAAAACAATAAAAAAGCTTAGAAAACAGTACAGATGGAGTATTCAGTTATAATACAGATGTAATGTGACCAAAGCAGAAATTATGAGGTAGCATTATGAGTGTTCAGGAGTCCAACAGCAGAGGGGAAGAAACTGTTCTTATGGCGGGAGGTTCTGGTCCGAATGGACCGAAGCCTCCTGCCTGAGGGGAGTGGTTCAAACAGTCCGTGTGCAGGGTGAGCAGGGGCAACTGTGATCCGACCTGCTCGCCTCACAGTCCTGGAGACGTACAGGTCGTGGAGGGATGGAAGGCTGCAGCCGATCACCTTCTCAGCTGAGCGCACAACGCGCTGCAGTCTGAGTCTGTCCCTGGCAGTGGCCCCGGCGTACCACACCGTGATGGAGGAGCTGAGGATGGACTCGATGATGGCTGTGTAGAACTGCACCATCAGCTTGGCCGGCAGCTTGGCCTTCTTCAGCTGTCACAGGAAGTACAATCTCTGCTGGGCCTTCTTGATGAGGGAGCTGATGGTCGGCTCCCACTTGAGGTCCTGGGTGATGGTGGTGCCGAGGAACCGATAAGAGTTTGCAGTGGTGATGGGGGTATCATTACAGGTGAGGGGGGGCAGAGGGGCTGTGGCTTTCCTGAAATCCACAATCATCTCCACTGTCTTCTGGGCATTGAGTTCCAGGTTGTTGCTGCTGCACCAGGTCACCAGCCGGTCCACCTCCCTCCTGTATGCAGACTCATCACCGTCCGAGATGAGCCCGATGAGGGTGGTGTCATCTGCAAACTTAATAAGTTTCACAGAGTCATGGCTGGAGGTGCAGCAGTTGGTGTACAGGGAGAAAAGCATGGGGGAAAGCACACAGCCCTGTGGAGATCCTGTGCTTACAGTCCGAGTGTCCGAGACAGCTCTCCCCAGCTGCACGCACTGGTATGTACTGGTAATGGTTAGGTTTAGGGTTAGGTATGTACTGATAATGGTTAGGTTTAGGGTTAGGTATGTACAGGTAATGGTTAGGTTTAGGGTTAGGTATGTACTGATAATGGTTAGGTTTAGGGTTAGGTATGTACTGATAATGGTTAAGTTTAGGGTTAGGTATGTACAGGTAATGGTTAGGTTTAGGGTTAGGTATGTACTGATAATGGTTAGGTTTAGGGTTAGGTATGTACAGGTAATGGTTAGGTTTAGGGTTTGGTATGTACTGATAATGGTTAGGTTTAGGGTTAGGTATGTACTGGTAATGGTTAGGTTT